AGCCAGGCACTCGAGGCAGAAGACGTGGCCGCAGTCCAGGCGCTTGGGCAGCTTGAACACGCCGTCGAAGGGCGACACGCAGATGAGGCACTCCACGGGGGACGCAGGGGGCAGGATGGGGCCAGAGCCCGGGCTGCCGTCCCCCTCATCCTCGTCTTCGTCCTCGTCCGTCCCCCTTCCGGGGGAGCTGGGGCCCGTGCTCTGAGGGGCCCGGGCGCGGCGGAGCCAGGGCGGCCGAGGGCAGGGCATCCCGACCGGACCTGCAGGGAGAGGCGGTCAGGCCGGGGAGGCGTTGGCGGAAGGATGCAGGGGAGCCCGGCGTCAGGGACTGGGCTCTGGAGGGGATCAGGGCCCAGGAGAGACGGGATGGGGCGACGCGGAGACTCGCGGTTGTAGAAGCTGTCCAAGGTGGCAGGATTAGGACTTGGGGGGCGGGGTGGGCAGGTAGATAGGAAGGCAGGGACTGTGGGATGGACCAGAGATGAACCCAGGGGACCACAGATGAGTGAGACTTGGAGGCCTCAGAGACGGAGCCTGAGGACCCGACAGGCTTGCGAGTGAGCAAAAATAGGGACTCCAGGGAGGGGCAGAGGACACCTGGCCGCGGGGGGCCAACAGCAGAGCGAGGCTGAAAGCACACAGCAGGGGTCAGGGGCTCCCCACCAGTGACACACCAGCCGGCCATCGGGCTCTTCCTACCTGTTGGTGCCTCCTCCTCCTGGCTGGCTGGTCCCTGCCAGTTCTGACCCCAATCCTTGGCCTACTGGCTTCTGGACACTGTGCCCCGCCCTGTGGGACGTAACCTGCATGGAACCACGCCCCCAAGTCCCAGGTTCCCGCCAGACCCGTCAGACTGCTTGCCCCGCCCACCAGGACTGTGAGCACCCAGCCGGATGTCGGGGGTGGTGAGGTAATGGCACAGGTCACAGAACTGACAACCCAGGCTCCTCAGGTGAGGGCTCGCCCTCACCCACTCAGCTCAACTGTCCACCTTGGAGTCACAGTATAGCAAGAACCTGGGGGGGGGCAGGGCTCTGCAGGCTGCACCCAGAACCAAAGTGGTTAGGGAGGCTGCCTGGAGCTGCAGTGGAAAACTGGCCAGAACAACGGTGGGATTTTTGGAGTCCTGGGGTGGAAGGCAGGCAGACCCCACTGTGGACTGGCCACCGTTGGCCTCTGCCCACTCACTGGGTGCAGAGGGGTTGTCATGGCCCAAACCGCAGGCTTCTCAGCGAGGTAGACCGCCACCCAGACCTCATGAGCACCCAGTAAGCCCCTCCCCAGGCCCCAGTGATAACTCTGCCAGGACAACCCCACCCCTCTCTCCCAACACCTGCAACACTCTGGGTGGCCATGCCTGCAGGCCGAGGTGTCACGGTTCTGAGTCAGTGGTGTTTCCCTGGGGAAGCGAGATCCCCACAGGCCGAAAGACGTGCCAGGAATGTGAGCAGCTCCTCAGGACACTGGGGCCACCCTGCCCCACTCCCCAAAGCCCCCCAAGGACAAACAGCACAGGCAGGTGGTGCTGCCTCAGAGGGCAAACAGGTTTATTGGGGCTGCAGCCAGGTGATCAACGGTTGGACTTGGCCACACGCTCCAGCTCGTCTTTCTTCTTGATGGCGTAGGAGTTGGAAGAACCCTGCAAGGAGGCACATGGTCAGCTCTGGATGCTGGAGGAGCCTCCCCTGAACCCCATGTCCTCACCCACCTTGGCCGCGTTGATGAGCTCATCCGCCAGGCACTCGGCGATGGTTTTGATGTTCCGGAAGGCGGCCTCCCGGGCACCAGTGCACAGCAGCCAAATGGCCTGGGGAGTACAGGGGTCAGCAAACCTGGGGCAGGGCATGTCCCCAGACCAGGCAGGGCCCCCAACAAAAGCTGCCTACTACATTGCCACCAACTGGCCCACTGAGACAAGACATAGCAGGAGTCCACAGTGCTGCCCAGGTGCCATGCGGCCAGATCTGGGGTCGGACTGTGAGGGTCACAAAAATAAGCGTAGACACAAAGGCTGAGGTTGGGTCCCCGATGATGGGAGACTCGAGACCCACGACTGGGAATGCAACACGACGTGAGCTCTTGGCCTGGACTCTTGATTGAAAATGAGCCGTTATGAAGGGTGTGCTAGGGACAGCTGCATAAATGGGAGAGGGAACACTGGCTGATGGCTGTTCAGTTCCTTGGGGGTGGATGGTGGGGACGTTCTTAGAGAGACCCAGGAAGCATGAAGGGTAAATGGTTAGAACGTCTGTGACTGATTCTCAAACGGTCAAAAAAACACAGAGTGCGTAAAAACATACACCTCAGCCAAATGTGGCCTAGAAAGCCCAATGCTAGGATCTGCCCCTCACAGGATGGGAATCAGGAAGGCTTCCTGGAGGAAATGACACTCCAGGTAAAACATGCAGACAGGGATAAGCCTTCCCACTTGCCAACTCTGCCCCGGGCAGGACTCTGAGGCCTGATTGCTGTTCCTGCCCAGCCCCATGTGCCAAAAGCCCCAGGCCCACCTGATTTACACGGCGCAGAGGGGACACATCCACGGCCTGTCGCCTCACTGTTCCGGCTCGCCCAATGCGGGTCGAGTCCTCCCGAGGGCCACTGTTGATGATGGCATTCACTAGGACCTGCAGGGGGTTCTAGGAGACAGGGAGGCCGTGAGCCTGTCTTCTGGCCGAATCCCTCCCTGTCTCCTCTCTAAAACCTGGAGGAGCTGGTGAGCATGCCGGGGGCGGCTGTTGGCTATAGGGGTCATAAGGGCACTGTGCCCCACAGGCCCTGGGGCCCTACCTCGCCAGTGAGCAGATGAATGATCTCGAAAGCGTGCTTGACAATGCGCACGGTCATCAGCTTCTTGCCGTTGTTGCGGCCGTGCATCATCATGGAGTTGGTGAGGCGCTCCACGATCGGGCACTGCGCCTTGCGGAAGCGCTTGGCTGCGTAGCGGCCCGCGCTGTGGGGCAGGTACTTGGCATACTTCTCCTTCACTGCGATGTAATCCTGGGGCAACAGGAGGGGCATGGGGACCTCAGGCAGGAGCACCGTTAAGTAGCTGCCACCCACATGGAGGGGCTTGGCTGTGAGCCCCACCGGCCACAAAAACATAAGAACCTGAACAAGTGACTTTCCGAAGTTGCTGAAGAGCGCTTCCTTCATGGGAGGGAGCGGGGTGAACCACGGAGAACAGCGCATGACCCATCGTGCTTTAGGCGCTCCTCAAAAGCTGCCCAGCGGACATTTGAAATGAGGGAATTCCTTTTTTGGGGAGAGGGGAACTGTACCATGCACTACAGGATATTTAGCAGTATGCAGGCAACACCCCTCGGTTTTGACACCCAAAATGTACTGTCATTGCCAAATGTCCCTTAGAGGGGAAAAAAAGAAATCAACCCACAATCCTTCCTATATGTGTATACATTTCCTGAGAAAATGTCAAGAATGCACCAAGATGTTGCGGGGGGGACGGGAGATCAGACGAACTGTGTATGTTTACAGGACTGTCAGTAATTCCACTATGAGACACACCCAAGGTCGGTGTGCCCCTTATATACGAGGATACAGGCATCCACGTTTTTCTACAATAACGGCAATGACAGGAAAGGACACAGGATTCTGATACTAATATGACAGTATGGTGTCTACAATGCAGCGAAGCACTTGCACAAAAAGGCCAAGTAACCCAGGCATGGGTTCATGCGGGGGAGAAACGCACACACCGCCGTCCTGCCTGCCCCACAGCAGAGCCCTGCACAAACTTTCTGGACAGGGCGAACTGTTCCCACACCGACGGCTGCCTTTCCAGTCCCTAAGAGGGTACTAGGAAAAGTGGAAAATAGTTTTTTAGAATTTTAAAGGGTGTACAAAAAAAAAAAGGAAGTCAGGAAGTGGATATATGTGACAGAATAGACGTGATCCAGACTAAAACATTTACTAACCCTTTAAGTTTGCAGATCCACCAACAAACCCATGAATGTCTACATGACATTCGGCGTGAAAAATTGTAGGGAGATAAAGCTCCCCAAATTCAAAAGAGTGCATGGATTATCTCGGGAGGCCTGCTTGCATAAAAAGGAAAAGGCTGGTTCTGTGGAATTCCAGAAAGAAGAAGATTAAGTATAGATAAAGGGAGTGTCAAAGGGAGTCTCAAAGGAAGTGTCGATTGTACCTTGATCTTCAGGATGTTACTTTAATTATGTTATCTTGGGAGACCAAAAGGAACAGATTATGTATAAAAAGAAGGATAAAAAATAAACTCGGAGAGACAGTTGTGAGATCTGTTCTCCCTCCTTCACCCTGTCTGTCTTCTCTTTTTTCTCAGTCCCCGCTCCCCCATTCAGGGACCCGGTTTGACTTGGTCGGCTGGCTTCCGACAAAAAATAAGGCTGAGTTCTCCATAAGGCTTAATGCCCAGATCCCATAATATACTTATATAGATGCAATAAAAATGTTTTAATTCCTTTTAAACAAGAAAGAGAAAGAATGACTATAACCCAACCTGAATTTTGTTCATCTCCGTATTAATACAGTCACGAAAAAAACTTTTTGTTATATGAAGGGCCTACAAAAGTCCTAACGAGGCCAAGTATAAAACATGGGAGTAAAGTGGGAGGACGCTCATTTCCTAATCTCAAAAACGCATCCAAAGCTACAGTAATCGAGACGGCGTGGTCCTGGTTCAAGGAAAGACATTCAGACCAACGGAACGTGACCGAGTCCAGACGTAAACACACACGTCTGCGTTCAACTGATGTGCCACAAGGGCACCAAGGCCATTCAGTGGGGCAAAGACTCTGTTCAACAAATGGCGCCGGGACACACGCGTAAGGCATATGGAAGAGATTTAAATTACAAACATTCTACGGTCAGATTTGTTAAAAAAAAAAAAAATGCACAAAGCTCAAAGCAACAAAAAACTAGATGGTGCCAGGACAATGATTTCACACGCAAAAAAATGATGTCTGAACTCATAGTCTAAAGTGATTACCGCGGTGTTGTGTAGTCGACTACAAAACAAAAAACTAAGAAACAGCCCAAGGGATGTGCTGCTCCTTCTGAGGAAGGAGCTACCCCGTGAAAAAAACCATAGCAATTTCTGGACAGGACACAAGGACGCGGACGTGGTGGGGTTGGTTGGTGGTCTAGGGAGTCCCCTTTTACCTGTCATGTCTTCAATTCTTGACTAAGTTGGACAGCTTCAAGTTTCAAGTGACCCCTCCCACAAGAATCCACATGTGCCCCCAACCTCTGGCTGGAGGAACCACCACCCCTCCTCACCTGCAAAGAAATGTCATTGATCTGCACATCATCCGTGCTCCACTTCCCAAAGAGCTTGATGTCGGGGGTCTCTGCTACTGCAGGTGCGGCTGTCTCCCACTCCGTCATCCTAGGGACAGAAAACGTCAGAGCCCAGGCACACCCACCACTGATTCCGAGACCTGTCCGCATTCTGTGAATTCGAAGTTACGAAAACCCGAGGAAGGCTGTGAAATTCTGGGTCCATCTCTTTGAACTCTTGAGAAACCACTCAGCGTTCAGCAAGCTGCGTCTCTCGCCCAGCATCCCTGGGGCCAAGAGCTGGCAGGCACGCGGGTCAACGGCTGCTGCTTGGACCACAGGTGGGCAGGTGATGCCAAATGCCTTGATATGGCATCTGCAGGGGTTCAAATCCCAGCCATGTCATTAACGAGCTCTGCGACGCTCGAAGAGTCAACAAACTGCTTTGGACTACGCTTCCCCATCAGTGAAACGAAACTGTTATCTGCCATCAAAGACCACCGCACGAATCCTGCGCAGAATCAAGTCAAAGATGCGGTCCGTGGCCAATACTAAGGAGGCACTAAGGGCTGCTACTAAGGAGAGAACCGTGCCCAGAACAGATGGTGCATCGTGCATCTCGGAACCTTCCTATCTCAATGTGCGGTTAGTGGCCAAACCCACAGTCCGGAGCCCCGCTGCGGGCACAGCACCGAAGCGGCGGCGGAGCAGTAACCAGGCAAGGGCTTTCCCCACGACTCCGCCCGTTTCGCTCGCACGTTTTCCGGAGAGAGTTGAGGCCCCCCCCCAAAAAAAGTCCGGGCCTCGGGGCCCGCCCCTATGACTCCCTAAAGCATTCTGCATCGTCCCTCAGACCCCCGGCCCCGCGGCGGCCTCACCTGAGAGCGTAGTCGGGGCGTCTCTGTCGCTCGGCGTGGACCACACGCGGCCCTGGCACCGACAGGAAGAGGCCGCGGGCCGCGGGCCTTCGCCTTTAACGGGAGCGAACACTTCCGGGTCAGCGGAGGCCACGCGCGCGCAACAGGAACAGTGTCTCTATGGACCAATCCGGAGCAAGACTGTAAAGGTGTCCTCCGCACTCCATGAACGACTTTGCCAGGGCGCATGCGCACTCGCAGACGTGTCCCCACCAGCGTGCCTGGCAGACGTGTGTTTTCCAGTACTTGCCGGGCGCGCGGGGAACAGCACAAGCGCACAGTTCTCCGTGAGGTCAGCGCCGCCATGTCTAATAAGAGTAGAACTCCGGCTCGGGCTCGCCGCTTTCTGACTTCGAGTCCCACCTGCCATCCACCAGGTTTGGAGGGGCGGGTAACTGGTTCGGCACCCCTGTCATTTCTTGGCCCAGGCGCGGCCGCTTCCCCGGGTGGCGGAATGGTATCCCGTTGTCACGACTGCCCTCACTCGGTGCCGGCGCCCGCGCGCGTGCGCGGACACCACTCGTGCGTCCCGCTCTGCTACACTGTCACGCTTGGGGCTGCTGCGACCCTGAACCCCGGAGAAGGGACGTTTTTCGACTTGATCTCTCCCTTTACCCCCATCTCCGGGTTCCCCCATCGTCTTTCCTCGACCTGTCATCGCGTGCCGCCGGAGATCGGGGAGGGGCCCTAGGAGAGGGGCCCGTGTGCCCAGCAGGCGCCCTGGGGGAACAGCCTCCGCTCTCTTTGGTCCACTGGGGCCTGTGCTGGTGCTGAGGTTACTGGACGGCGCAAGGGGTCGGCACTGGTTGTAGGTGCCCTGCCCATTCTGCAGCCCCACCCAGTGACTGTGGAGAGCATGCGCCAGACACACACACACACACACACACACACACACACACACCCCACCCCCACCTGTTTGCACTTCCTGAACCTAGACCACGGAGCTGAGCTGGACGCGTGGGTTCTACCCTGGTGGGCTTCCCAGAGACAGCAACACTCTGTCTGCACATCCCGCGCCCGGCAGGATGGCAAGGAGCCGCATCTGGCCGAACACGGGTTTTCCCACTGCCTGGAGGCTACCTCAGCAGAGGGCACAAGAGCTGCATCCAGAAGGCAGGGCCCCAACCCCTGTAGCTGGTGGCCCTTAACACTGCCCTCAACCCTGATATGTGAGGAGCAGTAGCCTTGGGCCTCCCACTGGGGTCTGCGGTTATGGAGAGGGGCTATGGCCCCAGAGGGACCCTCTCTAATTCTTGGGGGCCCTGCCTGGTCCTGGGGGCTGCACCTGGAGTGGTGATGACTGGGGAGAAAGCAGGAAGGCTGGGTGAAGGAAGTGGCACCTTTCACTCTCACACTGAGCAGGATACAGAGGGGACCCCCACAACTCTGCCTCTTACTCTTTGAAAGCTGACAGGGCCCACTCCTTCAGCATAGAAATTAGAACAGAATCATACATGGCCGGTTTGGAGCCTGTGACCTGGCTACTGGTGGTCATTTGATAACGTACATCTATATAAACGTCACAAGGGTCTGCCGTGCATTGGAGGGACATGAATTCAGAACAATCTCACAGACATGGGTTCGTGGTGCCTGTGATTTGGGAGTGCAAGACACAAATTAGGGAAGAAACGGGGATGTAGATTGAGGAAAAGGAATCCGAAACCTTAAATGGAAGAGAAATCTGGACCTGGATTTGGGAGGACTCAGAGGCAGGAATTGGAGAACGAGTAGAAACGAATATTGGGAAAGAACCAGACATTCGAATTTATCCCCCGACCACCTCACCGCTGAGCTGGCTGCCTTCAGTTCCTGCCGAAATTCCTTTATGTCTCCCCTTTTTACAGCTTCCAAGACTGTTGAGGAAATTTGGTCGACCCATCCAGGATGCCACTTTAATGGCTCCTGGGACCCTTTTCCTTCCCGGAAACTGCTAGCCCCTCCATTTCTGCTCAGCTTTTGCACATCCGGCCCCAGTTTTCTGAGTTGGAGGCTGGCCCCAGGATTGAGGCTCCAGCCCAGGATGCTGAGCATGGAAGAATCTGTAGGCCCTCAAGAGAGGCCTGAGGTGGAACTGAGCACCCTTACAGAGGACAGAGCTGGGAAACCCCCTCTCAGGGATGGCAGGTGGCAGGACAACTTCCTCAGGCCACAGGCTCCCAAGACTGTGGCCTTGGCAGGAGCCCTGACAATTCGAAGGAGCTGGATTCCTTGTGTGGGAGCCTACTTCCTCTCTAGTGCCCTGCGTGACCAAGGGTCTCACTCCTGAAGCACCCTGTGTGTAACCACTGAATGTAGTGGGGTGCTTTTCTGTTGCTACTCCCAGTATTAGTCCTGAGGAGGGTGGGGGACCCCCCTTAGGCAACAGGCTTCTGTAACAGTGGGAAGGGTATGCAGACCATCCGTAGACCTCTCACCAGCACCTACCCAGATAAGGCCCTCACACCAGTGCCCGCCTTCAGTTGGACCTCCAGCTTCCTTAAGTACAAGCAACTTCACACCTGACCCAACAGCAATAAGGCCTTTGTGTGGTGGGTAGACCTGCGGCAGCACCAGATAATTCACTCCAGGGAGAGGCCCTTTCTATGCACCCAGAGAAGGAAATCCTTTTGGAAGAGCTCAGTGCTGCTCCAGCAGCAGGGCACACACTGGCATGAGATGTCCCAATTCTGGTCAGCCTCCTCACACATCAGAAGATCCGAAGTTCCGGCAGTGAGAAGCCCCAGGGAGTGCACTGAGACGTTCAGGCAGTGGTGGAACCTGCTCACACACTGGCACCCCATACAGAGAGCCAGAGATTGTGTTCCTTTGTGGCAACTGTGGCAAGGCCTTCGTGAGCTACCAGAATAGGCACATGGACAAACAGCCTTCCAAGTGCCATTCAGGCACAACTCACTCAACTTCATTGAGTATGGTAAGCCCCACGCAGATTTCCAAACCAAGCCCTTTGTCCTTGGATAGGGCCAAGGAATAGATGGGCATAAGATGAGGATGATGTCAGTGGGTGAGGCCTGACCAGCTTATTCTACCGAGGTGAGCAAGTGGGGTTAGCATTACTTTTGGGGCTGGAGGCCGTGGCTCTCAAACGGGGGTGCACATACTAGAATCAACTATGGGGCTTTGACACCCAGATACTCGAGCTCCACTCCTGGCAGTGTGGCAAGTAGCTCGCTCACTGGGACATGTCAGAACCCAAGCGTTTCCCACCCCAGCGAGGCAGGGAATGGCCGATCGTTTCTGCGTCCAGACCTCCCAGAAGTATGACTGGGAGCAAGGGCTATCAATCATCGTAACGACCAATCATCCGTATTCTGGGGCTTGGTGGGCGGAACCATGCTCATTCTGGACGCCGTCTCCTTGGTGACGACGTAGAGTCCAGCCTCCTATTGGGTGTAGCGTGCTTCGGTTGCCATGACTACCGGGAGCACGGAGGGCAGAGCGCGAGGGGACTACATTGCCCGGCAGTCCCGGGGAGGGCCCCAGCCCACCCTCAAGGCGGAGCCAACTTCTCAGTGCAGCGGCGGCCCGGAGGAACGAGAAAGGCTCTGCGCGGCGTGCGGGGACCAGGGGACCTGCGGGCCACCCCCAGCGAGTAAGTGGCATTCAACGTGTACCCGAGACCCCAGCCTGCGAGTCAGGGGCCTCCGGGCGCTCAGCGCCGCCGCCACCCGCGTTCCCTCCTCCAGCCGCGCTGTCGGGGGCCGGCGCCGAGACCGAGGTCTGGCCCCGCACTTCCGGTCCGTTCGCTCAGGGTCCGGGCTGGCTACCGTACGTCGGGCCTTCAGTTCCGGGCGGGTCTGTCCGTTCTGGTTCTGGTTCTGGTTCCGGTTCCGGCTTCCACCAACCCGAGTGTGGAGGTGAGGCCCGCGAGGGGAGGCATCAGGCCCAGGACTCATCGTCGCGACTCTCAGAATCAAGCCCGTCTCCAGTGGCCGACACCGGCCTTCCCGCCGCCTCTGGCCCTGCCTCCCGGCCTCTGCGCTCGCCGTTCCCTTTCCTTGGCTCCGGACGCGGCAGCTCCTCTTCTTCCTTCAGTCCCAGGTCCAATGTCCCCTCCTCCAAGAAGCCGAAGAAGCCGCCGCCTTCCTCCCCCACCTTCGCGCCGCCCCGTGTTCGATGTTCTTCACGTCATTTTCGTTAATCTTGTTCATTTCTTCTTGCCTGTGCTTCCGTCATTCACTCCCCGTAAGTCCCCTGTTTGGCTCCGCTGTGTCCCCCGACCCTGACACAGTCGATGTCCCGCGAGCGCCGAATCTGGCTTATCCTTGAGGACCGGGCCCACGAGGACGAAGGCACCGTGGGAGGGCAGGCACGGAGGGGGGTCGCGCCTGCACTCAGGCCACTGCCCCCCACTGTGTGTCGTGCATTACCTTCCCACTACGCGTACACTGTGACATAGGACAGGCTAGCGTCTGTGTGTCTCGGGGCTGTCAGTGGGGTGAAGTCGGTCTGTGACTCAGAGGTGGAACCACGGTGGGCTTCGCAGATCATCTGTGCCCTCCACACATAAGCTGCCTGTGTTGACCTCCATGAACACCCCCTTAGCAGCCTGAGTGAGCCCTGTGCCAGCTCTGAGGACCTTCATCCTCACTGCTTTCCCACGTGCTATTGCCATGCAGTTCTGCAGGGCTCAGCCTGGGACACAGAAATCTCTCAGCCTCTCTACTTGCCCTAAGGTGCCTGCTCTGTGTCCTGTTCCCATCCACCAGCAGCCCTGGGGCAAGGTGGGGCAAGCCCTGAGGGTGCAGGGCAGAGGGGAGGTAACTGTCAGAACACCAGGGACAGGCCCCTGGGAGTCCTTGCCATGCTCAGTCTCTGATCCCAGGCTGGAGGTCATCCAGGCACAGTGGGTGCTGTGGACGCAGGGCAGGAGAGGCAGAGATGCAGCCATGGTCTCCAGGATGCATCTGCTGTGTCTGGTGCTGGGAGGCAGGGTTTTGTCGCAGCACTTGGGCAGAGTCACCCATGGGAGTGGGTGTCTGGAGACTGTTCTGGAGATATGACTGCCAGGTGCCCCTTGGCTCCCATCTCCTGTGAGTTCAGGGTCCCTCCTGCCACAGGGGCTGCTGCTTCTCACTGGGACCACCCAGTCTTCCCTGACCCTCTGTATAGGCATCTGACACCGAGACATGACCAAGGGTCAGGAGGCCCCCTTCACAACCCACTCATCCTTTTGAGGGTGCTTACCAGTCTCTGTGTTAGTTTCCTGCGGCTGCTGGAACAAATTACTACCAACTGGGTGGCTTAAAACCACGAATTCTCTCTCCATTCTGGAGGCCAGAAGCTGCAGTCAAGTGGTCGGTAGGATGACGCTCTGTGGGCTCCGCCATGGACATAACCCTACGTCCTAGCCTCTGATGCTTCCAGGTGCTCCTTGCTTTGTGGCTGCTGTATGCCAGGCTTGGCCTCTTGTCTCTCTGCCTCATGGGACAGCTGTCATTGGGTTTAGAGCCACCCAAATAATTCAGGATGATCTTGTCTCAAGATCCTTACCTACATCTGCAAGTACACTTTTCCCAAATAGGCTGATAGTCACAGATTCTGGGACTTAGAGTGTGGTTTTATCTTTGGGGGGTTGGAGCACCTTTCAATCCGCTATAGCCTCCATCAGGGGAACCTGCTCAGTTGTGGGTGGCCTCATGCCCAGGACACCCATCCTCTGGTCTGTCCACTGGGTCCATGGCGATTGGCCATCTTGGGTTGGCCAGGCTGCCCCGAGTGTCTTCTCTCACCCTGGTGGTTCCTCGGCCCCCAGATCTTGTGCGGAACAGGAGGTCGTGCCAGATGCTGGCCCGGGGCTCTGCTCTAGCTTCCAGGTATTGTGCAGACCAGGGCATGAGATCGGCAGCCATGACCCTACATACTGGAAGCCCGGGCACCGGAGCATGACAGGCACCCAGGTGCCACTGTCCTTCACACCTGGAGCACACAACGTGATGTCCTGTCAGAGGGAGCTGGATCTCATCTGCGGGGCTTCCGGGACGCATGATTGTTAGAAGCCCCGGTCCCTCCCAGGGATGATGGACAGAAACCTGGGCACCTGCCCTCCTGCTGTTCAGCGTTCACCGTGGGATCCCTCTTTGTGAGGGGCTGGAGTTTGTCTCGGGGTTACAGTTACACAAAGAGGAAGGGGATGATGGGGTCCCCACATCAGTGCCTGTAGCTGGGGAGCCCCTTCTGGTGTGGAGTCCTCAGATCTCAGTGTGGTGGTGGTGTCCCTGGACTGGTCCCCTTCATAAAGGGGCCTGGGGCTCCCCCAGCAGCTCTGTGTGGGCCCCCTGCAGGGTCAGCCTGGCCTCCTGAAGGCAGACCTCAGAATGTCGCAGAACCGGGGGCCCAGAGGCAGGCTCGGGGTCCAGCGGTGGCTGGGGAGGTGGGCAGGATGGGCCTATCCTGAACAGCTCTCTGTGGTGGGCAAATGGGCAGCCTGGGTTTGGAGGACAGACTGGGACATGAATGCCTGCGCCCGTGTCACAGCTTGCCGTCTGTGACTCAGTGCCTGCAGTGCCCTGGGGCAGAGGATGCCACAGGCCCTGCCCTGTGCCCTAGCATGCTGCCCGTCATCTCCAGCAGAGTTTTCTTCTTGAGATGAGTAAATTAAGAGACACCCGGCTGAAGAAGTCCGTGCCCTGGGGGAGGATGCCGTCAGCCCAAGTTTAAGCTTCGGAGATGAAAGGTCTACTTGGTGTGCAGTCCACTTGGCCAAGTTAACGTTTAATTTTACCTGGCAATGCTGAAGACCTTGTTTTTCTCATTACAGAACTATCATCCACACACACACCTGCACCCCACGCAGAGCTCTTTGGGTGGCCAGGGCTCGGGTGACATCCTGGGTGTTGCAGAGTGGGCTCGCCTAGGCTGTTTGAGGACAGGCGTGAGGGCCCCCCTAAGGCAGGGACTCTGCGTGCCACGGGTGCATTCGATTTGCATTATTTTAGATGCAGTTCACATAACATAAATGAGCCATTATAAACTGTACAATTAATTCAGATTGGTTCTTAGTATATTTAGTTTTTAGTGTATTCACTACGTGTGCAACCATCACCATTGTCCAACCCCAGAACGTTCCCAGCACCCCAAGATAAAACCCCATACCCATTCAACCACCGCTCCCCATCCTTTGTCCCCTCAGCCCCTGGCGAGCACTAATCTACTCTTCGTCTCTATGGATTTGCCTATTCTAGATTTTTCATATAAATGGAATTATACGATATGTGGTCTTTCTGTGTCTCGCTTCTTTCACTGAGGGTAGTGTTTTCAGAGGTCCAGCCATGTGTCGGCCCTCCCTTTCGGTTGCTGGGTGGCGGTCCATTTTAGGGACAGACTGGTGCTGTGAGCCGTTCATCAGTGGATGGACATTCGGGCGGTTTCCACCTTTTGGCTGTTACGAAAAATGCTGCTATGGACGTTCTTGCTCAAACGCCTGTTTTCATTTCTCCTGGGCAGACTCCCAGGGGCAGAGTTGCTGTGTCATGCTCCGCATTCTAGAGAAAGCACTTCCCGTGACCTCCCCCAGGCGTCCCGCGAGGACCCTCAGGAGTCGTGACCCCCGAGCCTGCCCACCAGCCCCGCACGGTTTCCGCTCTGGGTTAGGTTCATGTCCACCTCCTGCTGGCCAGCAGCTGGGGCCCTCAGCTGCTTGCGCCCCAATACGCCCTTGTCCCCACTCCTGTTCTCGGGAAGCTGCGCAGTCAGCTCTCAGGGTGACAGGCAGACACAGTGAAAGGCTGGGACAGCACCAGCCCACTTCCCACCTGGAGAGAATGTCCTCGGACTCAAGTCCCCAGTGGTTGGAGAAGAGCTGCCTGTCTGTCACATCCTCCATCAGGCCCAAGTGTCCCTCTCTCAGGGTCCTGTGGACAATCTGGCACCGGGGTGTGACATAGCAGTGCTCACTGTCACCCAGATGTCCTCACGCTGGCTGGGAGAAGTTCTTCACTCCGAGCACCACCTCCTTGGGTCTTGAGCACCAGCTGGCTAATTTGTCAGGTGGAGAAACCAAGGCACAAAGTGGCTGTTGCCACAGTGAGGAGGGCGTTGGATTTCCGAGAACTAAGTCCCGATCAGTGAGTGCCACCTACGGAGAAGAGAGAGCCAGCAAAGAGCCATGCCCTCCTGGGCCTGGACGCGGCTCTGTGAAGGCTTGGTTCACCCAGGCCCCGAGGGACGTTGGGGTGCAGACGGGGCGGCCTTACCTGCCCTGGGTTGAAGGCTGGTCTCCCACAGGCTGCGGGGGGGAGAGAAAGGTTGTGCAGTTATCACTTGTGACGGGAGTGAGGGCTGTGTGAGGTCACAACCCCACCTCTCACACTCCTGTGTGGCAGTGACAGCTGAACTGCTTCCACGGCCCGACCCAATCTCTGGGACATGTCAAGCTCTGTATTTTCACCTTTAACCAATCCAGTGTGTGTGATTTCCACTCGGAGCGCCGGTCATTGATGCGTTTCTGCCATTGTGATCGCGATGTCCAAGGTCAAGGCGATGCACCGGAGGTGGTTGGCAGCAGCATCGCGAAAGGAACCGCGTCCAGGCACTCTGAAGCGTCCTCGCCGGGAACGTGCGGAGTCCTGGTTACACGATTCATGGTTCTTTTCGTTCCTGGTCAGGTTATTTCAGGGCCCTGCGTGACCCTGGGGAACTGCTTATTAGGAATTTAAAAAACTGACGGAAAAGCGACAGTGGGTCAAGGGGGAGCTGGAGCAAGCCATGTCACTAAATATTCTCCAGTTTCTGGAATTTTTGATAAAGGGAGCTCTGCCTGCCACAGAAAAGGGAACACAGAGAAAAAGGGGCACCTGGGCCCTGTGCTCGCTGAGGTGGCGTTTTTCTGTGGTCCCACGTTCACCTCCCAGAGGCCACAGAGAGGAGATCTACCTTTGTTCTGGACGTGACAAGAATTGAGAGGAAATCTTCATTCTTACCCGCGGGCTCTTTAATAGGTCAGTCCTCTGATTATCCGTGACTGTCACTGATCTGGAATGTGACCCACACACAAGGCCTTGTCTTCCTTTCCATTTTCCTCCCCACCAGGTGGGTCTTCTCTGTCTGACCCCTCTGTGCATGTTGGCTGCACCTGAGTCACTGTCCCCGGTCTGCGCGGTGCAGCCGTGCCCCGCCGAGCGAGCCCGCACCCGGATGGGGTGGTTCCGAGCCGCCTGTGTGTTCTTCGAGGTTCCAGGCTAAACATAGTTTTCACTTCATCTAAATGCCATCTTGATGTACATAATGTGTTTCTCCTGCAAATCCTATGTAGCACTCAGCAAAAGCCACCGTGGCAGGTAGAATAATACCCTCCCTTCCCTGAAGGCGTGCATGTCCTCATCCCCAGAACCGGTGACTGTGTCACCTCACACAGCAGAAAGGACTGTGAGGTGCGATGAAGGATCTGATGTGAGTGGTTATTCTGGATTATTCCCAGTGGAATCCCAGTGTCTGCATAAGGAGAGGCAGGAGCCTCAGAGTCCAAGAAGATGTGGCACCAGACGCAGAGCGAGAGACGTTCCCTGCCGGCTTGGAAGGTGGAAGGCGGGGCCCTGTAACGCTGGAAGAGGCAGGTCCTGCCTCCAGAAGCAAGACATGCTGCTGAAACCTTGCTTCAGGGCTGACCTCTGGAACTGGGAGGTGACCAGCTCTCATTGCTTCGAGCCACTAAGGTGGTGGTAGTTCGTTACAGCACCAGTAGGAAGCTAATAGCAGCCACCGTGCGACTAGAAATCACGATAGCAGGTGTCAGGCTCTGGCTGGAATGGGCAGGGTCCGTGCTCAGCTGTTTACATTTGCACTGAGGCCACCAGACCTGAGAGAGCCCGGGCTCCCGGGTGGCAGTGGGGAGGGGCAGATCCAGCGCCCAGCCCTGCTGCAGGATGAGGCCCAGCTCACCCCTCGCAGAAGAGCTGGCTGATGGCAGTGAATGGGGCTGGGCCAGGCCAAGGCAGGGGCCAGGAGGGCATGCCACCAGAAGGCTGGAGGTCAGCAGCAGAGGAGGGATTCTGGCGGGGGAAGTGGCTGACTCATCGGGTTGACCCTGTTGCTTGGGGGAGGAGGCCGCTGAAGTCCCAAGGCAGTGGCGATGGCGGTCCAGCAGCTGGTGAGGAGGAGGGATGACGGCGGGGAGCAGAGAGGCAGGGAAACTGTTCCCTGAGGCCTTGGTGGCAGTCTCGGGTGTGGCCAACGCTGAGAGTAGGGGCAGGAGGCTTTAGGGTTCTCATCTCCTGGTGTCACTTCTCCGTTTCCCTGCCCCGGGGGAGCCGGGGGCCACCCAGCAGGCAACAGTCCTGGGGTCCTGGTTCTTTGGCCCAGTTCTATCCTTCTCCGCTCCTGGGAAATGCCACCTCCCTTTCTCTTCTGCTCTTCCAGATCCTATAGCAGCTCACCGTGGTGGCGGCTGGCTCGGGATGGAGGCTGGAGCCCCGAACTACCTGCGGGGAAGCATTCTCAAGGCGGATCCCCCGGAAACCGACAGGGGCCAGGAGGAGAGGCCCAAGACAGAGCCGAGGCCCCCGGCAGAGGCCCTAGCCCAGAGATGCCCCTCTCAGGAGGGGGACCTGCACGGCTGGACAGGGGGTGGCAGGACGACCCCCCCAGACGGGGACTCCCAGAGCTGGGGCTTCTGTGTGCAGTGCAGCCCAAAAACCCGGCAGAGTGCTGGAGCTGGACGCCCCTTGCAGGAGCTGCGCGGCCTCACCCCGTCTCAGGACCCCGACCTGGTCACTCCCCAGAGGCCGCACCCTGCGGAGGGCCCCTGTTGGAGCCCAGCGGGTGCGAGGCCCTGCAGCCATAACCGCTGCCTGGCGCGGCATCGCAGAGCACCCCTTGGGGAGGAGCTCCCCGTGGGTGACCACCGTGCGGTCCAGGCGTCCCTGTGGCGCTGCCCCCAGCGCGGGGAGGTCCACGCAGACTGTCCGTGGGGCACAGGCGCCCAGCCCTTCCCAAGCCGCCCCGAGCAGAGTGCCCTGGCCGGGCCGCCCGGCGCGGCCCGTGCCCG